AACTTGTGTATGCCGGGCGTGTCGAGCATGTGTATCGCGCGCCTACAACGGCACCATGTATGCGGCGGCCAACATGGTCTGTGCACGAGCCTGTGGCAAGCTCGTGCTCGGTGACAAGGCGAACCCTCAGACGACTTTCCATCTCAACGAGGGGCACGTCACCGACATGTGTGAGATCGGCGGGGACCTGCAGTCCCAGCGCGATGTCCACTACGAGATCAAGGTGCCTAGCGCCCTCACAAAGACGAGGCAGGCTGGGCAGGGCTCGGCGGCACACGGCGGATGCTGTGCGTCACTGGGCCACAAGTTTGGTTTCGGCAACACCCTCGACCAAACCTTGCTCAAGGTTCTTGGGTGCAAAGAGCGCGGCCACAAGTCACAGGGCCCGCTCGTCCATGCGACCGGCAAAGGCTGGGTCAAAGAGCACAAGGGACAGTACTACGACGCGCTCCATGTCAAGAACGGAATCGTCAAAATTTGCCTCGTCGAAAGCCAGGGCGGCATCGCGCCGCCAACCAAGAGAATCATCTTCAACTTCGCCAAAGAGGTCGGCAGCCCGAGCGCCGTCGACCGCACCGACTACGGCACAGCCTCCGGCAGCGCCCGGGGCTTCGCCCAACACCACTCGCAACAGCTCTCGCGCGCCGCCGTCAGTGGCGACGCGCAAAACATCAACAACGCTGCTCGCAACATGCGTGTCGCGCACTCATTCATGACCGGTCTCAATGCCCCACCCCCCTGCGCGCGGGCCTTCTAAGCCCGCGGGTAGTCCCCCCCCATCCCCAGGGCCTCCAGGGCTCGCACCTCAACCTCTCACAGGCCAGCGCACAGCGCCATAGGAGGTATTTTCTTCTCAATAACAAGGCTGTGAATACTTACTTCCTGAAGTAACTTCATGGTTCAGATAGACACCAGATCTGCGCGTCTCAGAGGGCGGTACCCTCTGTGCCAAGAGAGGCCATCCACGAGCGGCTCGCAGAGGGTACCTGGGCCGACCCTCTGAAGGCCTGTGCCCCCAAGCCAGCCTCTCTCAGCGCAGCCTCTGAGGCTACGGGACCCTCTGAGACGCCACAAGGCAAGCCCCGCGAGGCCGCTCCTCAGAGGGAGTTTTCAGCGGTATTTCAAGTCTGTCGTGATCCCCCACCAAGCAGCGAGAACCCCCCCCAGCAGGCCCAGCTTCCATTGGTTTCGGAATACCTCAAGTTCGATCGAGTTCACTAGGACGCCGCGGCGCCTCATGGCCAAGCTGGAGCAGGGGACGGATGTGGAGATCACTACCTCCTCCTCGGGCGGCCGCTCCAAGCACATCCTCACTCAAGTTGACGGGTCGGCGGCGCCGCTGGCCGCGCGAAGCTGTCGCACGCGCAGGGCTCGGCGCGGGCGCTGTGTGTGTGGGCGAGCCTGCAGCAGCAGCAAGCGTGTGTGGTGCCGGGCGCTCGAAGCGTATAGAATAGCGCCTTAGTCAATGCTCGCTGCTTCCGCCCCCTCCCCGCCCTCCCTGGTCAGCGCCGTTCGTGGAGGGCTAGGCGCTCCGGCCTCCGCCCGGGGCTCTCGCCTCTGTCTCTCGAGCTCTGTCTGCCGAGAGGGGGCTACCCTCTGAGGTCAACGCCCTCTGTGCCGCGCCAAGACAGACCCTCGGCCGGGGACCCTCTGAGGCCAAAATCAGCCAAGAGAGGCCACAGAGGCGGCACAGAGTCAGAGTCAAAAACCCTCTGTGCCGCCAAGCAAGCCAGGGGTCCGACCCATCCTCAGAGGGGGTTCTGAGGCCTCAGAGCGTCTACAACCCCCTAGTTATACATCACGCAAAGAAAAAATAAAGGAGCTGCGTGGCGGTGCCGTCCTTCTCGGTTGTCCGTTTTCTTTCTCTCTTTTCTCAGGGTGTATTTCCGTAAGCTTTTCAGATATTGCTTCTCACGTTATATCATCTTTCGTGATCCAATGCTTCTTCTTGCATCAGTCGTGAAATCTCCGCGGATAGCCTAGTGTGACGCCCAGCGAGGGGCGTGCCTCTCCATGACCGTACCGCCCACGCACCCGACGGTGCGTGGAGCACTATAGCCCCCCTTCTAGCGGAGTGCACCCGTAGTGGCCGCGGCCCTCTCGCACTCCAAAACGCAGGTAGTGTCTTCTGAGAGCGACGACCTGGCAGATTCCGCCCGGGCAAAATTTCGCACGGAGATCCGCGTTGCGTGCAGCGTAGCACGTCGCGGCCTCCCGTTGGCGTTTCCGGCGGGCCTCCTGCTCGACCGGAGCTTCGGAGCAGCCGTAGGAGCGGTTCTCTCTCCGCCCGCTGTCCAGGTAATGACGATGGAGTGCGTCGCTCTTTCCGTCGCAGTCGCCGGACCCGCACAAAAGAGCGCGGACGTCCGCGTAGCGCGCGGCGTAGCACGCCGCGGCCGCGTCGCGCATTTCCTCGTGCAGGATCGCGAGGGCCTCGACCGGTGTTTGGCCGCACCCGAAGAAGCGACCCTCGCTTTGCCCGCGGCTCCGGTAGTGGCGATGGAGCGCGGCGGCCTTCCCGTCGCAGCCGCCGGCGCCGCACGCGAGCGCGCGGGCGTCCTCGTAGCGCGCCGCGTAGCACGCCGCGGCCGCCTCGATCGCTCTCGCGGTCGCCGACGGATCTGATGGCTGCACACTCCGTCGGCACGCCTGGTGGCTGTGGAAGACGCCGTGGGATTGGGCTCGGCAGAGGTTTGGTTGAGATCCGGCCGCCCAGAGCGTCGCACCGCCGCTCCGGGTCGCGGCGTCCAGGGCGAGCGTGGTCCGCGCCTCGGCGATGTCCCGGACGAATTCCGGCCTGGACGAGCGGCCGCCCCGCCAGCCGCTGTGGTTGATCGCGTCGACCCGCGCGGCGAGCACGTCCGTGTTCAAGAAGTACTCCGTCGGGATCGACGACCACTTGGGGTACGAATTGGGGAGCCTGCACACCCACGCGACGAGGCTCGAGCGGGCGTCGGCCATGCGCGCCGCGAGCGGGGCGGGGTCCAGGAATAACACGTCGGGGTTCGCCCGTACGACCCACTCGTAGCCGCCCAGCCACGCCTCGCGCGCCGCGACCAGCAGGGGCGCGATCGCGCCCGCCTGGTGGCCCGGGTTCCACCGCGTCCACGCGAGGCTCACGTTCCGGTTCGGCAGGCGCCGCAACGCGTCGACCCACGGGGACGCGCGGGGTTCGGCGATCTGCGTTTCGCCGTCGCCGGGAGCCTTGAACCTGGTCCGGTCGGACGCGAGGCAGCCCACGTAGAGGAGGACGTCCGCCGCGGCGAGGAGCCGCGTGGCGCCGAGCGCGCGCGGCCAGCAGGACTGGAGGTAGACGAGGTGGCACTTCGCGCACGCGGTCGTCAGGAAGACGAGGACCGTCGCCGGCGGCGCCGAGGCGGCGTCGCCCTTGACGTCGCGGAAGACGGCGAGC